CTCACCGGGGCCGTCTCTGCCGGGCGCACGCGCGCTCACCGGGGCCGTCTCTGCCGGGCGCACGCGCGCTCACCTGGGCCGTCTCTGCCGGGCGCACGCGCGCTCACCTGGGCCGCCTCTGCCGGGCGCACGTACACTCACCTGAGTCTGTGGGATTTGTTCCCCGGAACCGCTCCCTTCGCCTCACCCTCTCTTGGGTCTCTGGGGCGGGAAACACTTCCCGGAGACATGGCGCGGAGGAAAGAGATGGAATACAAAAATGATGCGTCGGAGCCGGGCATGCGCGAGGCCCCGCACCCCCTGGCCCCGGCGCTGGGGCAGTCGGCAGGGCGGGCGGGGTGCACCCTGACTCGGGTGCGCAAGGCTGGTCTCCTGGACCGGGGCTACAGCTCACACGGTGGAAGGCGCGCCGCCCCCGAATGCCTGGGGACCTGGGGAGCACCCAGATTCCCGAGGCCCTGCTGGCTGTGGAGCTGCAGTGGCCTGGTCCCGCGGGTAGAGCCGGTGAACACGAGGCTCCCGCCGTGCCACGGCTGCCGCCCTGCGCCCTGCTCACTCTCCCCCCCGCCCCCCCACCGCAGTTGTAAGAGGCGACCCTAGAGCAAGGAACCCTCTGGGATCGCCGCCTCCGAAAGCGCTATCCAGCAGGAGAGGCCCCTTGCTGCCTCCCCACCGCAGCTCCCCTAGGCGCTTGCAAGACTCCAAGTCTTCCCTACGGGCCCCTCCAAGCACCCCAGCACCCAGTTTCCGATACCCTGTGCTGCTTTGGCCCCCAACCCTAGGGCCTCACTCCAGGCCATTCTCTCCTTGCTGTCCTGAACGGAGAGGACCCTGACCTCCGTGGGGCCCTGGGGAACACACATACATCCCCAGGGGAGCCAGTCTTCGCCCCCACAGGGTAAGAAATTCCCTGGAGGCCCTGGAAGGTCGTGCCAGAGACTCCAGTGTCACCTTCAGCCCTTTGGCGCTTTCATCGAGTCCCAGGCAGACGTGGTAAACTGTGAGAGACGCACAGGGTGACTTGTCTGGGCAGAGCAGGGGCTCAGGTGCCTCCCTCCCTGAGTGATTTGCCCTCTTTTCTCCTTGTGGTTGGATTAGGTGAAGCTGTGTCCGAAGGTGGGGGTAAAGAAGGGCAGAGGACCTAGGGGGTGCGGAGACCCCATCTTCATGCTGCCTTCAGGGCCCGAGCTGAGACCCTGAGAAGGGGCTGGGGAAGCCAAATCCTGAGCTGCCCTAGGGTTAGATACAGTGTGGACTTGGCCTCTCCACACTCTGTCCCTGCCAAACACAAATCCCCAGGGCCAGAGCTGCCAGTGGGGGCTATTCCTGGTAGGGCAGCTTTGTAGCCACAGGGCCAAACAAAGGGGCAAAGGCAGAGCTGGGGCAGGCCAGCGAGGTTCGTGATCCCCTCCCTGCTCAGGTGAGCATACCTTCACTGCTTACTTTCCACCTGGATAGACATTCTGCTTACCTGGCCAACACAAAATTCATCCAGCCTCCTGTGGCCTAGCCTTTCTTCAATGCCAGTGGTGGGAAGCAACAATTACGAAGCAATGATTCCAAGAAGATAAATTCAGTCATCTTCTTGCCTGACCGTTGTATGGTCATATCCCATAGGAAACCGGACAGCTGTGCCTGAAGCTGATCCACACCATCCCCTCACCTCCTCAAACCCCCACCCCCATCTGTGTGAAAGAGTGCAGGTGGGCAAGTTGCATGCTGTTCCTTCCACAGCCTCCCTTGAGATCTTGCCGTGGGCAGGCTCTGGGCCAGTCACTGAAAATTAAACCCCATCCCAGCACCTGGGAGTGAGTAGCTGGTGTCCACAGTCCACAGGATGAAAGGTACAGGCCTAGGGCCAGGAACAGTGGCTCCCACCTGTAATCCCAGTGCTTTGGAAGCTGAAGCAGGAGGCTCACTTGAGTCCAGCAGTTCAAGTGTGCAGTGAGCTATGATCATGCCACTTGCATTCCAGCCTTGATGGCAGAACAAGACCCTATCACTTTAAAAAATAAATTAGGCCGGGCGCGGTGGCTCAAGCCTGTAATCCCAGCACTGTGGGAGGCCGAGGCGGGTGGATCACGAGGTCAAGAGATCAAGACCATCCTGGTCAACATGGTGAAACCCCGTC